TGAAAAAACTGATCAGTAGTGATTCGGAGATACCGTTGACCTTGTTCATCAATTCTTCAAACTGGGATTGAAAATCAGCTACAGAGCCGGTTTGAGTTAATTTGGAGAGTTCACCTTCAATGTCTTCGTACTGAGTTGGACCGAAGCGGTGGCGAACAGCGGTGAGAAAAATTGGCCACGATGGTAACAAATTGTTACGTGTTGCCCATTGGAACCAGCCAGCAGCGCGTCCGTCAAGATGAAAGGCTACGATCTGAAGTCGGGACTCTTCCGGAGTTTCGTGGAAGTTGAAGAAAGCTTCAATCTGGAAAATCCAATCCAAGAGATTGGAACCATCAAAACATGGTACATTTAATTTCAGCGCACGTGACGTCTGCCCAGCAAATGCATTCTGTGGTTGTTTTTTGCCTTCGACGTGTAAGTTTGCGACCTGCGAATCAACTTCTACCAGGTGTTGGTGGAGTGTGGAATGAACTGACTTGGTATGGAACTCGAGTAATTCGCAAAACTTTACCATCTGTGCATCGATATTGGATTGAAGGGCGCTCATAAGCTCAGTTGTGTCCATGATGAAAGCACCAATGATACACTCTGCTGCAGAATGCTCAAAGGTTTTAACACTCTTCGAGTGAGTGTCCACTCCTCAGAAAATTAAGCGAAAGAGAATAATAGAATTTGGGGGAAAAAGGATCTTGAAAACTTTTATTCTCTTCTGTTTTGATTACATCATAGCTATTAAAAGGAATTTGGTGCTAACAATCAAGCAAAAATTAGGGAAATAAAACAGGAATTAAACTAATAATTTGTAGCAGAAATTTCAGGAATTAATTTGAGCATATCAGGATCTTCTAATTTTGTCCGCAGACATAATCAGTCATCCATGCTGGCTTCTTTCTTGCTCGTTTCCTTACTATTGGGTCATCCTTCCTTATTGGGTCTGGGTCCACTGGTTGGTTTGTATCATCCTTATTGTTATTTCTTGTGCATGTTACAACTAAAATATCAACATAAATATATGGAAGCATTAAGATGGAAGACATGTATCATTCAACCATTGTTATAAGAATTTTTTGCTTATCAATTTTAATAATTATTTCTGATATAAAAATATTGTAAACTTGTAAGACTCACATCTTTGTATGTATAAATGTATAAACATTTATTTCGTATCTTACTTTTGTCAAGATTTAATATAAAGTAGTAATATATTAAAATATAGTTAACAACGTGAAAAAAAGAACGTCACATTAGATTATATCAGAGAAATGTTTCATGTGTGACCTGTGAAATGAGTCTATCATGAGATCTTATGAATCCTAACTTATATAATTCCAGATGATAAATAATAGGAGGAACAACGAGTTGACAGAAGTGGTACAAGCTATCTTAGACATGACCACTGCATTATTAAGGAAACAAAGACCTTAAGGAACCAAAGATCTGAAAGAACCAATGAATCACAAGGTTTAGTTGAATTTAGGAGGACCAAACCTCTGCAATTTCCCAGAGGTTATAATCCAGAAATGGCTGAATTATGGATTAAAGAATTGCAAAAAATATTTCGAGTTATAAATTATCCTGATAACCAAAATGTGAATTACGCTATGGCTATGTTGATAGGAGAGGTTGCATATTGGTGGAATAGTACCAGGAGATTACTAGAAGGAGGAAGAATAATCATTACTTGGGAGGTATTTAGAACAAAATTTTTAGAAAAATATTTTCCTAATGATGTGAGGAGAGCAAAAGAAATAGAGTTTATGCAATTAAAACAAGAAGGTATGACAATAGAAGAATATTCGGCTAAGTTTGAAGAGCTAGAAAAAAACTCTACATTCTTTTATCATACTAATGAAAGAATGAAGTGTATAAAATTTAAGAATGGATTTAGGCCTGAATTGAGAAAAACAATAGGAATATTAGAAATTTCTTATTTTCCTACGTTTATTCATAAGTGCAGATTTTTGGAAGATTTTGAAAATCACCAAAATAGTAAACCAAAATATTTTGGACCCCAGCAAAATAAAAGGAGACAAAATGAAGGAAAACCCTACAACCTCCCTCAATGGAGATCCCAACCCAGTCAATTTTCTGAAGGAAATTTTAATAATCGTATAAATAATCAGCTCAAGGGTTTTAAGTGTGGACCAGATCATTATGCTAAAGATTATCATCTTAAAGGACCTGTCTGTTTCAAGTGTGGAAAATCTGGTCATATATTTTTTGAATGTTGATAACAAAAAACAAATTTTAATCCTTCTGCACCAAAAATAAGACCTCCGACAACAAGAAGAGTGTATACCATGACTGGAACTGAAGCCTTTCAGAATAATGATTTGATCCAAGGTATGTGTTTCATTAAAGGAGAAACTTTAAATGTATTGTATGATTTCGGCGCAACTCATTCATTCATTTTCAATAATTGTGTCCAACACCTTGAATTGTCAACTTCTTTTCTAGACACTAGTTTGATTGTTTCAACTCCCATGAGTAAGTCTGTAATCACCAATAAAATTTATCTAGATTGTCCTTTGTTCATTGAAAATAGGAAATTCCTTATAAATTTAATTTATCTACTTTTATCTCAATTAGATGTAATGTTGGGTATGGACTGGTTATATTCCAATCAAGTCCTTATGAATTGTGTAGAAAAATCAATAATATTTTCAAATTCTAAGAATCTTTTGAATTTCTCTACCAACTCAGTAAATGAATCTTTGAACAGAAAAATTCAAGAATATTTGTTACTATCTTCTGTGGAAGTAAAAGAGGAAGTCGATTTAAAAAATATAGCAATTGTTCAAAAATTTTCTGAAATTTTTTATAATGATATTCCTGGTTTACCACCCAACAGAGAGATTGAATTTTAAATAGATTTGATGCTTGGAACTGGACCAATTTCTATGACACCATATAGGATGTCACCTTCTAAACTGATAGAACTGAAGAAACAATTGGAAGAATTACTTGGGAAACAATTCATTTGTCCTAATGTATCACTTTGGGGAGCCCCTGTTTTGTTAGTTAAGAATAAAGATGGAAGTTTAGCTAGGTTGTATGTAAATTATCGTCAGTTAAATAAATTCACCATAAAGAATAAATATCATCTTTCAATAATAGATGATTTGTTAGATCAATTAAGAGGAGCTTTTGTATTTTCTAAAATAGATCTAAGATCAGGATATCATCAAATTAGAGTTAAGAAAAAAGTTGTACAAAAAACTACATTTAGAACTGGGTATGATCATTGTGAATACCAAGTGATGTCTTTTGGTGTGATAAATGCTCTTGCAATATTCATGAATTATATGAATAGGATTTTTCGTCCATTTTTAGATCATTTTGTTGTGGTTTTTATAGATGACATTCTTATTTATTCTAAAACTTTTGAAGACCATGCAAAACACCTTCAAGTTGTTCTTCAAATTTTGAAAGACAAACAATTGTATGCTAAATTGTCTAAGTGTGAATTTTGGTTAGAAGAAGTAAAATTTTTAGTTCATGTGATTTCAAAAGAGGGAGTGTTAGTAGACCCAACTAAGGTGGAAGCAATTCTACAATGGGATCCATAAAAAACAATGACTGAGATTCGTAGTTTTCTGGGTTTGGCAGGATATTATAGGAGATTCAATGAAGGATTTTCTAAAATAGCTATACCATTAACCTAACTCACCAAGAAAGGCCAATATTTTGAATGAATAGAAAAATCTGAAAATAGTTTTCAAGAACTTAAGAAAAGATTAATCACTTCCCCTGTACTAGCATTACCTAACCCAACTGGACATTTTGTGATGCTTCCGAAATGGGATTAGGATGTGTTCTTATGCAAGATAGAAGGATAGTTACATATGCTTTAAGACAATTAAGAACACATGAGAAAAATTATCCAACTCATGATCTAGAACTAGTCGCCATTGTTTTTGCACTCAAAATATGGAGGCGTTATGTGTATGGTGGTAAGTTTTAGATTTTTAGTGATCATAAAAGTCTTAAATACTTGTTTGATAAAAAAGAGTTAAATATGAGATAAAGAAGATGAATGAAGTCTTTAAAAGATTATGATTTTGAATTATATTACCATCCAGGAAAGATAAATGTAGTAGTAGACGCTTTAAGCAGAAAATCTTTACATGTCTCTTCCCTTAGGATTCATGAGATGAGTCTACTTGAAAAGTTAAGAGACATGAATTTATCAATTACCATGAACCCTGATATAATAAAATTAAACTTAACTCAAATTACTAGTGAATTACAAAGACAAATCCAAGAGGCTCAGGTAAGTGATGAATTTATTCAAAAGAAAAAGAAGTTAATATGACAAAAGAATGGAGAAAATTTTGACATAGATAAAATATGGATTTTGATATTTAGAGGTAGGATATGTGTGCCTAATGATATAGAAATTAGAAAGTTGATTTTAGATGAAGCATATAAGAGCAAATTGAGCATACATCCAGACACAACAAAAATGTATCAAGATCTTAAGAAAATATTTTGGTGACTCAAAATGAAGAAGTAAGTGGCACAATATGTAACATCATATTTAGTTTGTCAAAAAGTTAAGATAGAACATCAAAGTCCTGTAGGAATGCTACAATCTTTAGACATACCTGAGTGGAAATGTGATAGTATTGCAATGGACTTTATAGTTGGATTATCACGAACAATTCAAAAATTTGATTTCATATGGGTTATCATTAATAGGTTAGCAAAGTGTGCTCATTTTCTACCCATTGTCATTTGTCTAACATATTCAACCATTATTAGAAGAATTTTTTGTTTGACAATTTTAATAATTATTTCTTATATAAAAACAATGTAAACTTGTACAACTCACATCTTTGTACATATAAATGTATAAACATTTATCTTGTATCTTACTTTTATCAAGACTTAATAAAAAGTAGTAATATCTTAAAATATAGTTAATAATGTGAAAAAAAAAGGACGTCACATCTGCTACACTGCTCTACCTCTGCTAGCCACCAACACAACCTCTTCTACATTGCTCCACCTTTGCTAGCTACCAACACAACCCTGCTCCAGCCACCTCTGCTAACCACCAACACAACTCTTGCTACACTACTCCACTTCTGGTAGGCACCAACACAACCTCTGCTACACTACTCCACCTCTGTTAGTCGCCAACACAACCTCTGCTACATTGTTCCACCTCTGCTAGACGCCACCATAACCCTGCTCCAGCCACCTCTGCTAGCCGCCAACACAACCCTGCATGTTACCAGATATTGGGATCTCTACTAGCCACCAACACAACCCTACTCCAGCCACCTCTGCTAGCCACCAACACAACCCTGCTTCAGCCACCTCTACTAGCCACCAACACAACCTCTGTTACACTGCTCCATTTCTGCTAGCCACCAACACAACCTCTGCTACACTGCTCCACCTCTACTAGTTGCCAACACAACCTCTACTACACTGCTCCACCTCAACCTCTGCTACACTGCTCCACCTCTACTAGTTGCCAACACAACCTCTACTACACTGCTCCACCTCTGCTAGCCGCCAACACAACCCTGCATGTTACCAGAGATTGGGATCTCTACTAGTCATCAACACAACCCTACTCCAGCTACCTCTGCTATCCACCAACACAACCCTGCTCCAGCCACCTCTGCTAGCCGCCAACACAACCTTGCATGTTACCAAAGATTTGTACCTCTTCTAGCCACAAACACAACCTTGCTCTAGCCACCCCTACTAGCCACCAACACAACCCTGCTTCAGCCACCTCTGCTAGTCGCCAACACAACCCTGCTCCAGTCACCTCTTCTAGCCTCCAACACAACCTTGCTCCAGCCATCTCTGCTAGCCGCCAACACAACCTTACTCCAACCACCTCTGTTAGCCGTTAACACAACCCTGCTCCAGCCACCTCTGCTAGCCACCAACATAACCCTACTCCAACCACCTCTGCTAGCCACCAACACAACCCTGCATGTTACCAAAGATTGGGACCTTTGTTAGCAACCAATACAACCCTACTCCAGCCACCTCTGCTAGCCACCAACACAACCTTACATGTTACCAGAAATTGGGTTCATCAAATGATTTTTCTATAAATTGAAAGATAACCTCAACAACAAAAAAAGGATGAATGAACACAATTAAAACAAAACAATAGCCATAACATAACAAACAGAGAACCCGCCATCATAGAACCCACCAACAAACATTACAGAACCCACCATCAACCATTACAGAATCCGCCATCATAGAACCCACCATCAACCATCACAGAACCCACCATTAACCATCACAAGGATGGATGAACACAATTAAAATAAAACAATAGCAATAACATAACAAACAGAGAACCCGCCATCACAAAACCCATCATCAACCATCATAAAACCCGTCATCACAAAACCAAGCATCATAGTTAACACAACAATATAATCAACACAAGCAACACAATCAAATCAACACTACATAACTCTCATCAACCATCACAAAACCTGCCATCACAGAACCCACCATCAACCATCACAAAACCCGCCATCACAAAACCCACCATCACAAAACTCATCATCACAGAACCCACCATCACAAAACCCATCATCACAAAACCCACTATCACAACCCACCATCACAGTCAAGATAGCATCATAGTCAACACAGCATCACCCGCAAAACCCAGGTTCACTTTCCATATATAGTGTGGTTCATCTTCATTTCTCCGTATAGTGTGTTTATGTAGTGTAACGTGTAGTGTAACATGTTCATTGATTGTTTGTATTTGTTGCTCCTATTTGTTGCCCTTGATGCATGAGACTCTAATATAATCAGTTATTCCCTAGGTTGTACACATTTTAAATAAACATTAAAAACAAAAATAAAATATGTTTATCTTTGCCACCGGCAATCACTAAGCTTGTCACACCATCATAACCTTCACCCATATCCAAATCCCTATCATCCCATTTTCAACTCATTCGCTCTCCTCATCACCGTACCATCTCTAACCACCATGAACCTAACCATAAACGTCACCCTCAAAGTCACCCCAACCATGGCTACTCCACCTCCATAGAGACCCATCCCGTCTCCCCATCGCGAATCACCACAGGCCACTTTCCAACTTCAATCGCTCCCTCACCTCCTCACCTGAACCCATCTCCGTGAGTCACCCCATCTTCACCATACCGCACGCAGTGGGTCACCTCTTTCACTCCTCGCACCATCGAACGCCCCCTGCAACCTAGAATCAACCTCACCCAGTGGGCTAAACCTCACCTCCGCGAAACCCCCAATCGATATCCTTGCCCAAAAGTCATGCGTCTCTCACTCTTCCATCGCGGGCCATCGCAGCTCGCGCTACCACCATGAGCCCCACCGCTAGCCACTCAGTCTTATCTCAAGCAACTCGTCTCATCTCTCGTGGCCCCCACTATTAAGGTTAGGTTAAGATTGGAGTTTAAATGGGATATGGACTGAGAAGGAGGGTCTAAGAGATGCGTGGCCAAAATTTGTTTAGGGGTGAAAATAATAAAAATAGATTTCTAACAGTCAAGCGAATTAATCTTAACTTGGTAGAAGATTTTTGGATCCATTATCTAAGTTGGAAAAAAAATAGTTTCAATTTGGATTTTTTCAATTTGGATTTTTTCAATTTGGATTTGAGGGGGTGAAAATAACAAAAATAAGCTTCAAATAATAAAATAAATATGAAAGAATTTGTATTTTTATGAGTTATTGGACCTAATTTTTTTTTTAAACTAGACAACATATCAAAAAAATATTACAAACAGTAATGAATCGGAAAATTTATTATTATTATTTTATCCAAACTTTAAATAAAAATTATTCTTTTTTTTCTTAAAAATAATTTAAATTAATATATCAATATTAGTATATTGACAATTAAATTTCAATAATTATCAATTTCTTTTCTTGAGTGTTATTAAATATGCAATATTATTGTTACTAGAGTAGTAAGAAAATATTTCATAAAAGTTTAACCACTTTGGATGCATTTTCGATTTAATTATTACTCAAATTATAAAAATGATAGTCGATGTACTTCTAATTTGATTATTACATAATTATTCAACTTTAAAATAATTTCGGACATACGTTTAACTTAATAACACAAATAGATAAATTAAAATAAATCATTCACAAATATTTTTAAGAAAGAACTATGTCACTTTGATTCTCCATTGCATCCAAGAATATGTAGGAGCAGAGAGCTAATATTTGTCAAGCAAAAAATATAAAAATATATATAATCTTTTACTTTTAATAATAACATTTAATATACATATAATTTTAAGGTATAAAAATAAATGATTTTACTATATTTAATTTTTTCACATCTAATTAAAGGTAATCATTGTTAGAATAGATGTTGTAGGGTGTTAATATTTTCATTATACATGATCAACTCTCAAATCCAATCTTTATTTCACATGTCACTTTTATTTCTTTTTAAGATTTTTTTGATATTTTCTTAAAATAAATATTAATAATGATCCTATTGTTTTTCTTTCCCTTATATACTTAATTTTATCGTATAATCACGATTTTAATTACAATAGATATAAATAAAACCATTAAAAATCTTCTTTAAAATGATAAAATATGATAAAAATTCATTTTTGACTTAAAAAATAATAACTTTATAATATTTAAATAAATATAATTCACATCTTACTCAATTAGATTTTATAAGATTAAATTAATACCTCCACTAATCATAAACTATTTTTTCAAATAAAAATCGCAAACATTATCTTTATCATCCGCAATAGTAAACTAGTGCTATGCATGTATGAATCACCTTACACAGGAAAACACAAAAATGAATCACATCGTAAGTGACTTTTATTCTTTGTAAGAAACTACAAGTGGCCAAACCAATGCATGGCTGAAACTGTTCGAGGTAAGATAAACTCAAACTCATAATCTCCCGTGTCTATTCAATACTAGAATATAAAAATGTTAGCACCTGATTTGATTGATGACAGAAAATGAATAAATAATTAGATAGTTGGTATTTTCTACTTGCCAAATGCCAATGCAGACAAAGCAATAAATGTAAAGAATCTCTTCCATTAAAAAACTATGAGCATGTGAGTTTAAGTAATTTACATCACACTCAATAAATATATATAATGTGTAGTAGTCCCATTTGTTTGAGATTTTTACTTAATTTTATAATATAAATTACTTATATTTATATATGACAATATTTGTATATTTATATCTTATAGGTTTTGTTTTTATATTATTATAACAATAATAATAACATTAATTTGTAATTTGTAAATGAAAACAATAAATTATTTATTGAAAAAAATAACAATAAAAATATAAATAAGAAAAACTTAAGAAACTAATATTTTGTTGGATTATTTTACTTTTAAAATTATATTATTGTTTATTCAGTGTTTTATTATCATAACTGGAGGGGAAATTTTATAATATTATTATCAAAGAAAAAAAAAACAGTTTATATAAAAACTTTTAAAGGAAGAATAATTTGGGAACTGTTTGAGGAAGAAAAGAAGACTTACCCAACTAAATAAATTGTAAATTAAATTAAATTAGATTATTATTATTATATAATCTGTTTAATTTATGATTTAAATGAATTTAAATCAAATTAAATAGTAAATCTATAGATTAATGTGATTAATAGTAATTAATTTTTAAAAATAAAAAGTATATTATTTTATTAAAATATATTATAATTTATATATTAAATAGTTATATATAAAATTTATATTTATTTTATTAACATAAGTTAAATTTTAAAAATATGTATTTTATTTTTATTTAAAATTAATCCATTTTAACTTTTTTTTAAATAACCATAATATTTCATCAACTATTATTGATTACACTTAAAGATAATATTAATTTAAAAACAGATAATAATAAACGAAAAATTAAGTGTTGGGTCTGATAAACCAAACCAATTGGTTTATCTGTAGGTTAAATGTCACTCTCCATTTAATAATCTTTTTACAACCTTTCTAAATCAGGACCTGAATTTGATCAACGGTTCTCAACTTCCAATTTTTTAAATATTTAAACAATTTAAAATTATTATTAAATATAATTTATATTTATAAATAACCTTAATAGTTAATAATATGTTTTATTCACATTTCAAAAATAAAAATTTAAATTTAATAAATTTAAATTATATTATTATAAAATAAATCATATATTTATAAATATATTATATTACAAATAACTTATATATATATATATATATATTCAATATTTATTTATATTTAGTTTCAGATTTAATTTTAAAATAATTATTATTTATATTAGTGGAAACAACATGTTTAAATTTTCAAAAAAAAAATATATATATATATATATATTAAATAATTATTTTTATTTTTATTTTTTAATATATGTCACTATTTTTATTTTCACGTGTGATACGTTGATTATTTTCATATTTTTTTATTTTTAAAATATATAATATCATGATAATATTTTTTTATTTGTTATCCATAACATAACATAAAAAAATTATAAATAATTTAAAAAATATATATATATATATATATATATAAATAATATATATAATAGAAAATAATTATTTAATTAAAAATATTATTTAATATAAATAATTTTAAAATAGATAAATTAAATTTGTGTATTATACAATAAGCAATTTTTTATTAAAACGTGATATAATATTATTTTACTAATACATATAAGTGAAGATGAAAGCGTGTTCAACAAGGTTTTTTAGACTACAACTGGTGGAAAAGTAATACTTTAAGCTAAGAATTTTTATATGATATGCTAAGTTAAAACCTATCTAATTCATAGATAAAATTAAAAAATTAAAAATATTTTTTATTAAATTTTATAAAACAAATCAAATCAATTTTGTATCTAACAGTTAAGAACTAACACAGATCAAACTGAATTAAAATTAAAATACAAGATAATAATTTATGTCGATTAATTTTTTATAATTTAATACATTTTTTTACATTGGATGTGGATATTTATAAAAATAAATTAAAATTATGAATATTATAATTAATTATACATAATATTTTTGTAATATTTTTTTATTATAATATATTTAATAATTTTATAATAAAAAGTTATAAAAATTATCTAAATAAAATCATAAAATTTTAATTTAATTTGATTCAAATTTTTAAAAATATAATAAAAATTAAATCTGTCCCTAAATTTTTTATTTATTAGGATAATATAAGAATGTAAATGGTGCTGTGGTATCTAAAAAATCTTAGAAGCAAACAAAATATTATGACATATGACATAAGAAGATTGACTATAGACTTTCTGAGTGAGAAATATGTTACATTAAAGTAATATATTATAACCGATATATATATATATATATATATATATATATATATATATATATATATATATATATATATATATATAATATGATTATTGTTTTGAGTAGCAGAAACAAAGGATAATCTCTTGGGACTTATAACCCATAAAATAATTTATTGTAAATATGTGTAATTATGATCTTTGTGTAGTGGATGTAACGTGGACCATTATTTTGAGATGTGACAAATTATAATTAGCAACATCATTAGTAATTTATGAAATGTAATTAGGTGTAAATTATATTTTCAATTTATATGTGATGCGAATAGTTTCTTGTAATATTATGAAAGACAATTCACTACAAAATTCATAAGTTAGAATAATGAATTTCCTTGAATCAATATTTCATGACAATTTTTTTGTCAATGTAATATGAATTTTTATTTTTATTTATAACAATATCAGTTAATATTTTCACTAAAATGAATTTTTGTTTATTTAATTTATATAATAGATAATGAATAATATATATTAAAAAAATAAAGATATAAAAGTATTTATATTTTTTTAATATATAAAATCATTTAATTTTTTTAAATTTATAAAATCCTTTCATACATTATAATATTATATTTTATAAATCCTTTAAAATTTAAATTATTAGATCCTATTCATAAGTTTTTTTAAGAATTTTTATTTTATTTTTAAATCTGCTTTACTTCTTATGTAAAAAAGCATTTTAAAATTTAAATTTAACAAATGTGAGGGAGAATAATTTTTTTATAATAAAATGTTATGTTCAAAATAATCCATCAACAATAAATTTTAATTAATTTAACATGAGAACAAATTTTAATTGTTAGACTAACTTTTCTATTATTAATCTCTAATTAATGTTTTTTAAAACTGAAGTTCAGCCCATAGAAATTAAATTATTTAAAAAGAGTATGGTTTAATCAAAGGCGTTGGTTTTGATACCTTCTTCATTCAGCAACCAATCTGAACCGTCAGTTGAACTCTCCCTGTCTTCAACCACATACTCCCAAACTTTAATAAATGGCCATTGATGCAAATTATTCTTATCATTCCCACATTACCAAAATTTAATCTTGTTGTTAAATCATGACAAATGGTCAAATGGGTAAGAAATTTATGATTTAGATTTTGACGAAATTTTGGGATTAAAGAAATACTTTAAAAATGCCGCCCAGTGCTTCAAAATACGAAAACAATGAAGCAGCAGTGGCAGAAGGTGTTCCTCCTTTAAAGCCGTGACAAATTGTATATAAACACGTGAATTGCACATTTTTTGGTCTCATTTCTTTTCGCACCTTAAATATCCAATGCTTCATCCTCATCTATGTTCTAGTTCGTACTACCCTTCATCTTGTTGCGCTTGTTCGGTATATAAGCACTTTTCTGTCAAGTTTGAAGATTGTCTGAATTGAGTTGGTGCTGAAGAGGTGGGGTGTTTCTCACTTTAACCTTCTTTGTTTGGTTTATTGGTTTTGCTGTTTAATTTCTATGTGTGTGTTTTTGGACTGGTATAAACAATAATCCCGAGAGGGTTGTGATCGGGTGATTCTTTTGTTGGTGTGAATTAGAAAAGTTTATTTGGTAGGATGTTATGAATTTCAATTATGGTTTGTCTCATGCTAAAATTGTGGGTTGTTGTTGGATATTGGAAAAACTTATATTTTGTAGGATGCTATGGATTTCAATTATGGTTTGTCTGATGTTAAAATTGTGGTTGTGGGGATAGACTAGTCAGAGGTATGGTATCAGAAGTTTTATGCGAATTATCCTTCTTTATGATGCACATACTGGGACTAGAGTGAGATGATTGACATTAGGTAATAACAGGATCGGAGTGCTTGTGATTCGCTTTTAAATGTTGAGCAGAAGTCTAAGAAGACCATAGAGGATAACAATTGTTTTATTTCAATAACCAAATGGCGTTTGGGTACAAAAGTTACACTGGTGAGGTTCTTTTGCGTGATTGTGGCACTGCTCCAAACACACAAGAGTAGATGCTTGGTGATTCCTGTTTTTGTGTTTTACTTTCTCTTACTTTTGAGAGTTAGTCTAGAGCAATTATAAGATTGCTGCTGTGTTGTTTTTGTAAGACCAGGAAGATTCCTCACATCTTTAAGTTATGAGATTAATCTCTGCTTAGGTTTTGACTTTGACTTCACCAAAAAGTGTTTCTAGAGTATTTTGAGTCATTGCACTGTTAGATAAAATCTATTACCTCTTGTCCTGGTGCAGAGGATCTAGTTGCGGAAACAACCTCTCTACTCGGTTTAGTACATTTGATATTTTCAATTCCTTCCCAAATCTTGAAATGATAGAGCCTTGTGTGCCAAATCAATTTTTTTTTTCTTATCAGAGCCACGAAGGTGTATTATTACTCAGGTTAGCTTAAGTTTTAATAACTCCTGTATCTGAAACTGAAAGGTAGTCTTTGGCCCGTCATGCTAAATCAGGTAGTTTGGGTTTGTGACCGCATACAGAGATACTGTGATGTGAAGGAAGTTAGGAACATATTGTGCTTAATTGGTTTGGGTGAAATTTTTGTTTTTTCGTAAAACCTAATGACACTGATTTGTTCATGTAATCAATCCTACTTAGTGGAAGGGAGTTGGTTGTTGTTGCTATTGTGAAAACACTGCAAACCAAAAAATATTCTAATATCAAATATAAACCATAGGGGACATGATAATGCATATGGTGAAATTTTCTTGTCAAATTTGTCGTGAACAATTCTGATAGTTATATATAAATTATACCAGGGGGACAAGTAGCAGTTTTTGTTTTATTAACTTGTTATAATATTGCACCATCTATATTTTAGGATCTGGTTCTCATATTTGCAACAATGACTCTAATTTAGATCATTAATGATTTAGTTTAATTGGACACAAGTCTAAACTATGATGTATTAAATGTTATGATCTGTTCTTGATTTTAATTACTGGTAAAAGTCAATCTGTTAATGTGCAGCTTATTTTGGCAGTTGTTTCTTGCTGGTGTGGAATCATTTCATCATTGTCTGGCAGAAGAATTTCAGATTTGTAGTCAAGTTTAATACTAAAAGATGGGGTTATATGAGCATCCAGATGTTGTGCAGTGGGGTATTAATCTTTTTGGCTGTGACCCTGCTTATAGCCCTGGATACTATTGTGACATAACTCAACCTAATACGGGTGATGCCTATAATAACGAGCATTACTTCCATAGCCATTATGTTACTGAACGTAACCAAATAGAGAATGACGAGATCATTGCACGGGCTCTTCAAGAACAGTTTTCACAACTAGATGTTGAGGATTGTTCAAGATATTCACAGACAAATGAAGAGCAGTTCCATGCTGCTGAGCCTGCATATGATTGGCGTAACACATCGATGATGTATTGTTCAGGAGGTATCATTTGAGGATCAAAGCTTAATGTGCATGTTTTTGGCTTAGAATTATCTCTTTTTGCATGAATTTGGTTAATTCAATCATATTTTTCATATTCAGGTCATGATTATGCATACGATGGAACTGGGGACATCAAACCTTCTAGTTCATTATGTTGTAGGCCTTGTGAAGCAGAAGAAAGCTCATTGGAGCTAACTGACAATTTTCCACTTGATGATGAAATAGGGAGGAGATTGAGTCAGATGGTTCCAATTCCTGTATGTTCAGCCTCTTTTGCTTCTCTTTGATCAGTTGTATGATCTATAGATTGGAATGTAGTGCCTAAAATTTTTTCTTTTACCTTCTTTTGTAGCATGTTCCAAAAATTAATGGAGAAATTCCTTCAATTGATGAAGCAACTTCAGATCATCAAAGGCTTCTGGATAGGTATTAGTCATAAGCATTTTTCCTCTTTGGTGACAAACTAATAAAAAGGTTGTTATGATGCATGTTTTATTGTCCTCCGATTTAATAATTGACATTACAGTGAAACTATAGTAACATATGAGCTTCATCGAGTGTTTTCCTTTTTTATCCATTTGTAATTTCTAAGGTTTATGCTGACTGAAAGAAAAATTTATTTCATCTACATTATTCTTCTATTAAACTTATATCCAACATGCCAAATTAAGCCGCCTATATTTTCAAACAGATTGCAGTTATATGACTTTGTGGAACATACGGTACAAGGTGATGGTAATTGTCAGGTTTGTTGCTTTTAATTTTCATTCCTTCCAATTTTTTTGTTCATCAACATGTATATAGAAGCATTCAACAGTTTTTGATAACTAGTTTCCATATTTAGAATATGGTATCAAATCATAATTTTATTTGTATTCCTCCCCAGTTCCGTGCGTTATCTGATCAATTGTATGACACACCTGATCACCACAACAATGTGAGACTACAAGTTGTGAACCAGGTTTGTAGTCTAGTGGAGTGGATTATGCTTTATTATAATACTTGCCTAAATCTTGATCTATGCTTTGATATTTTTATACAATATTCTTGGATTCTGATTGTTGAATGCTATTTTTAACCAGCTAAGGTCTCATCCAGATATTTATGAGGGATATGTTCCCATGGAATTTGGCGAATATTTGGAGAAAATGTCTAAGTAATAACCGTACTCTCATCTCTTTCTTTCCATCTATCTATATGTAAAACTTCTTTTGAGCTAACTAATACCTCCTTTTACTTTCATTATCAATGAAATTAGGAGTGGTGAATGGGGGGATCATGTCACTCTTCAAGCAGCTGCAGATTCGGTATAAGTGTTTTTGCTACTTACTATTCTTCTTCTGTTGAACTTTGTTAAAATATGTTCCATTGTTCTTCCATTTGCAATGAGATTTTCTTTTTTTTGCTAAACTTCTAGAGAAATAATGAATTAGAGTAGTGAGTGATTTTGACAACACATGGTTTGGAAGTTTCAAATTTGGTGGTTTGCGCTGTGCTTAACAATTATTTTGTTCCAGTGGTTACTAATTTCTATACAAATATTCTATATATTAATTTGGCTGTTGACAACCAAACTGTTGTGCCTACTGAACAAAATGGACCAATTATCGTCTTATTGATATTGGAATATTTTCAATTGTGGCAGTTCGGTAGTGTTTGGCATAACTTATTTTATGTCTCTCTTTTTCTTAAAATGAGAACTTAGACCAAACAAAAAAATATCAAAAAAAGAAGTTTGTAACAAGGCAATCCTTCTATTTCAAAATTTTCGGAACAGGTTGCATGGTTTAAGTCTGTTAACCCTCTTTCCCTGTTGAATTATGCCTGGATTTTTCACTACCACTTTTTGCCCTCAGATGATGCCATTTTTGGCCTTATAATATAGTGTTGATTTAGCACTACCTAGCTTTTAAATATAATAAAAAAGATGATGCCTATTTTAGTTTATAGCAATAATCAATAATATCTGAAAATGGTAATGAAATAATATTCCATTTTACTTATGGCTGATACCTCTGAAGTTGTTTCCACTCTTTTCTCTCCAGTATTGTGTTAGAATATTTGTGATGACTTCTTTCAAGGACACCTGTTGCATAGAGATTCTTCCTAATTTTGAGAATCCAAGAGGAGGTAAGATTTTTTTCCTTCTTTTCGAAAAATTCCCTTTCCTTTTAGGACCTCATTTTCTCATTAAAACTTGTTTATTTCCTTAGTTAACTGTTCACATCACTTTGTTCTTCAAATCTTTCTGAACCTTGGACATAATTTGACATTCTTTTATAACCTATGGTGCCTTCTTCACAAGATCATAATAAACAAGACTGTATCCTCAGCATCTATCTGGGATCTAGAAACCTAATTATGAAAATTTATTGGATAAACTTCGATTTTTGTGAACCATTGATGACTTTGGTATTTATTGGGCATTGATTACTTTGCAACCATTTTTCAGTTGTCCATCAATCATATATAATGAACCTGCTTTGTATGTTTATATTGCAGTGATTTTTCTTAGTTTTTGGGCAGAGGTGCATTACAATTCCATCTATCCTCAAGGAGGTAATTATAAAATTTTTTCATATTCAGCTTCAATTATTTTTAAACAAGTTCACCCATAGTTTGAATAATGTGGTTGTTATTTAATATATTTGACAAATCGTGTGTTTAACTCCTACGCCAATTAGATTTGTTGGCATTAAGATATTGATTTATTTAGTTGTTATCATGAACCTATTGATTGATCCAGATGCTTTCAAGAAAAAGAAACTTATTGATCCAGAAGATATACCTTCAAATGAGTCAAAAAAGAAGAAAAGATGGTGGAACTTTGGGACCAAACATTGATGGTGTGGCTGGCATAGAACCTGAAGATGTACCCAAAAATTTGGTGCCTCTGAACAGCCAATAAAGATGCCTTCAACTCAGCAGGGATACACCAAACTTTTGGGGTACTATATAATAGCCCTTAATTTATATTCCGATTTCTTTGTTTTCCTTTTTTATGAATAATATGATTTTCGTCTTCATCAATTATAAATCTGGATGTGCTGTGGCAGCTGCATCCCAATGACATTTTATACATAAAGGGTTAAAGTATACCAATTTATCCAAGTTAGTTTCATTTTGATTTACTAGGCTATGAAAGTAATAAATAGCGTTGGGGTATCTACCAAACTTGTAAGGTTCATATTTGTTCACAATTTAAAAGTTTTAATTATTTTTAAAATTTATATATATTTTTTTCATATTTAGTTTAGTTTATTTTTAAGGTTTGGTTTTAAGTTGCTATAATTTTAAACTTGTGAATAACTTATTCTTATCAACAACAAGCTTACATTATAGTTTTGGTCTATATTCTGGAGACTAATTTTAATGGATTCAAAATTACGAACTCAATCTAAATTTAGGGGTAAGATATAAGAACTGAAATCAAAATTAGACGAACTTTAGAAGATAATATAATTATATATATCCAATAACTCAAACTTTGTTTAAAACTTAATATCCATCCATATGAGGCATGTTTATCAGAAATTATGCAAAACAGCTAGTTTTTATCAGAAATAACTGGTTTTTATCAGAAATAGCTGGTTTTTATCAGAAATTATTGAAAAAGGCTAGTAGTAATAAAAAATAGCTACTAAAAAACACATTCTCCCTCCTAATTGATTACTGAGACATGATGAATTAAGAACGGAGACATTGCAGGTTCTACAGCTTTTATGAGAAAAGTTGACAGAGAATCCCAATTGCTTTTCTTTTGTCAAAAACCCAACCCTTTACTAGTAATGAATAATATCTCCTAGTAATAAACTTTTCCATAACATAATCACGGAAACACAACAAAATTGAGAAACACTCAATACATTTGCCATCAAGGCCACTCGATAAAAATTTTCACAATGAAGAATGGGCTCGTCTTCTTTTAACTCCCGATTGTCGTCGAATTAAACTTAAATGTATGAATGGTGGGTCCAAATCAAAATCAACATTTTGAAGATGTGAGACTGTTAAATGTCAACCCAGCAAGGTTCAAATAGATAATTCACATTCATTCGGTTTCTAGGAATAATTTACATAACTGTTACATTTCATTCTGTTCTTTCTATCAAAGAACAAAGACTTGTAATTGTAACCCAAACCCGCCCACATTGACTTCACCCAACTCCAAAACTAACCCTAAAATCAATAAATTAAAAACAAAAACTTCCCCTCGGTTCTAACAGCTATCATTGTTCGCCGAGAGACGCGTCGTTCTGGTTATCCTCCGCCATCATTGTTCGCCGAGAGACTCGTCGTTTTGGTTATCCTCCGCCGTAGCTGGCTGCAACAGAAGTGCCGTGAAGGGCATGTGACGGTAGCCGTTCGCCGCGGCGAAATCCATCCCCGGGGGCGGGGACAAGTCCAGGCGGCAACTCGGCGGCGCCACGGCGAACATTCCCTGCCCGCCGACAACCGGCATGGCAACGGAGGGTGCGGAGGAGGGTGCGGAGGTGGCAACGGAAGAGATGGGATCCGCGGGGACGGTGCCGGAGCCGGTGGCGGCGATAATGGAGGGCTCCGCGTGGCGCAGGAGCCACTCGATGGTCTCGCCGTCAGAGCGGTGGCCGAGCTCACGTGTGAGCTGGAAAATGCGGGCCGCGCAGAGTGGTGGCATACGCACACGGCGGCCTCGACCGTTGACCTTGGTGTGACGGTCCTTGGTGGAGCGCGTGACGGCGGCGGAGGGCCTCTTGGAGACTGCGCGTGAGGGAGCAGTGGGTGGGGACTCGGTGGTGGTTGTGGAGGTTTTGGTTTCGGAATGAGGGAAATTTTGTAGCACAACTTGTGATGTCATGGTAGGGTTTGGGGAAATTGGGAATTTAGGGCTTTCAGTGTTGAAATTGTGACCCCACAAAGGAGAGTGACCGAGGAGTTATATAGTAGTTGCGTGGATTTGAGCTGAGTGGGCCTTCACTTTTGCATTTTCAAATCTTCACACACCACTCTCCGCTGTCCCCACTATGCACCCAACTCAGCATTGATACTCTTTTCACTTTTTATTAGTATAATTAATAATAATTACTCTTTTATTTTTATTTTTAATATTTATAGTTTAACGTTAATCTGACAAATTAATAAAAATATTAATTTTGTAGTTAATAATAATTTTTTTAACGTATTTAATAATATTCTTAACAATTTAAAAAAAACTATTGTGATAAGTTTATAAATAAAAATATTATTTTATTATGAACTTTATACAATTAATTGTTTTTTCTTATTTTAAATATTTTTCTTTAATTTTAAATAATATATACATAGAGTTTATAATCAAATAATATTTCTATTTTTACATAATTTTTATAAATAATTCTCTTATTATTTTGATATTCTTCTTATTAAAATAGTTTACAATCACTTTTTTTAAATAATATATTTATCATTTTGAGGTAGGTCATGTAAATTGTTTAACTAAATTTCTCCAATTTTTATTAATTTTATAAGTGTAACCTGTATTGAAATAATTTTTTTTTATTTATAAACAATTTTTTTCGAATAAAATTTATGAGGATGATATAAGAATATATTCGTTGGTGAAAATTGCTTAGAAATATTTTTAAGAATAAAAAAATTATTATTTTAAATTTTTATAAATAAAAAACATTATTTTAATATCGATTCATGTAAGCTGTTTAGTAATTTTCTCAAAATTTAAAAATTTTTGTGAATGATCCACGTTAAAATAATATTTTTTATTCAAAAAAATCTTTTTTTAAGTGACTATTTTTTATGATTTTAAAGTGTATTTCTTGCTAGTAAAAAAATTATTTTAACTTGGGTCTCGTTTTATTTAAATATTTTTCTCTAATTATAAATAATTAGTAGGTGAGATTCAACATTAAAATAATATAAATAATTTTTTAAATATATTTTTTAGGAGTTAGTATGAATTGTTTAGAAGAATTCTTAAAAATATTTTTTTATTTTAATATAAATTTTACATGTAAGGTTATTTTAAACAACTTCTACACCTTCTTTACAACTTTGTATTTGACATATGTTAAAATTATATTTTTAATTTTAAAAGAGTAATTATATGATATAGATTTAAATGTTGAAAACACAAATTCGAGCAAATGAGAACGAATGTACTTAATTTATTTATATAAAAGAATTTCATACTTTTATCTCAAACTAAGATAGGGGTGGTGTAACGATTTAGAAATCGTCACTATAATGATTTCTTCGTAAAATAGTAAACAAGTAAATAACAACATTTATATTATATTATATCACTATAATTGTAATATAGACTGAAATCTCGGTTCATCGACAAAACCTTAAACTATAATATCATAATTTATTTATTCAGCTGCATACAAAAGTAGTTCTTATAAAAATCATCTCACTTAACTATTCCTACTGCTCATTAGTCGCATCTCCACCTTTCAATTCCTGATCTGCTCCACATAAAAGTGATAATCGCAGTCTCATCCACATGGAAAAATAGGGGGTAAGTATTAAATCATTTGATATAATAAAGCAGATATAAAATTAATAATTACATATTATCATCAATTACAAATCATCAATACACTAATACACCTTCGGAAGTCTACTTTAATTATGCCCAAACTTAGAGGCTATCATCTGTGGGTACATTGTGGTCGGCACTCACAGTACCATCCTGACCACCTTCCACGCAGAATGAGATTACTAGCGCCTTTCATTACTCATGCTGGAGTACCCCTCCGAGCACGCCACCAGTCATCCCCATCGACTTCTCACCACCTAATCTCGTAATCTACCTGACCCGACCAATCAGTGAAGTTTGGGACCTCATTTGAATCCTCCGACATAGTTAGTACACTAATATACTATATACCACGTCGGGTACCATTCAAACACAACAGCAATCATCACATCTACCGGATTTTGGACCACCTGTCCTCACGGCTCATTCGGGTCAATAAATAATAATACTTGACTGATTCTGGGCATCAACCGTCCGACTCAGTTTAGCCAATACATAACATCTCATGACTGATTCTGGGCATCGGCCCTCAAGTTCGATCGACCCACACACGTCACAACACACCTTGTTAATTCTTTAAAATTTTTAATTTCATTCTATATTTTAATTATTTTTCTTAACATACATTTACTTTATTTCTAAAATTTCAATTATAGCTTTAAACATTTTATATTATTTATTTTTCATCCAGAAATCATTAAATTATTATTTTTTCCTTAATCTTTTTTTAAAATTCCATATATATCCCTAAATGACTATTTTACCCTTGGGCATTTTCTATTATTCCTTCCATGTCTCAAAATGACTATTTTACCCTTAAACATTTTCGATTATTCCTTCCATGTCCCAAAAATGACTATTTTACCCTTGGACATTTTCGATTATTCCTTCCATGTCCCGAAAATGACTATTTTACCTTTGGACATTTTCGATTATTCCTCCATGTCCTGAAAATGACTATTTTACCCTTGGACATTTTCGACTATTCCTTCCATGTCTTAAAAATGACTATTTTACCCTTGAACATTTTCGAAAATTTCATTTATGTCCCTAGGATGTAAAATGACTATTTTACCCTTGGATATTTTCGATTATTCCTTCCATGTCCCGAAAATAACTATTTTACCCTTGAATATTTTTGAAAATTCCATTTATATCCCTAGGATGTAAAATCACCAGTTTACCCTTGATCTTTTTCAAATTTCTTATCTTATCCATTTCTTCTTCCTCGCTCCCAGTACGCATGTTCAGTTTTTTTTTTCTTTTTTTTTTCAGATTTCAAATTTTTCAGTTTCAGACAACCAAACTAGTTCCAAATCCAAATTAAACTCTAAACATGTTCAATTTAAGTCAAAAACAACAATTTTACCATATAATTCATCCTTAATTTCAAGAATTCCAACAAAATTTCAAGTTTTCAAATATGAAGAAAACTTCAAAATCAGTCGTTCAAATATTCAGATTTCTTCTCCTATTTCTTATTCATAGAGTACCCAACAATTCAGTCTCATATATTGAATGAATTAAACTTCCCTTTACCTTGTGTGGTATTTCTACCAAAGCTTTCTCACTTAATCTAAGTTTTCTCCCGTTTCACCAGATCTTGCACGAGTAGAGTATCGTTTGCTTGAAATTTAAACGAAAGAAGAAGAACGAAGAACACATGATATGGGAGGGAAAATCACTTGCAGAAATCCATGCCTCTTCCCCCCCCTCTTTGCACGTATATATAAAAAATTTTGCAATGCAGAGGAAACTTCACTATGAAGTTTTTGCACTATGTAATATTATTATAATATATAATAATAAATAATAAAAAAAAACATACGTCACAATCTTCCCTCTACAAAAAAATTTTTGTCCTCAAAAATGAACTTACTAGGGAATAGATATGGATAAGACTCTCGAATCTGATCCTCCATCTCTCAAGTGAAGTTTCCGAATTTCTGATCCCATACTACCTTCACCATTGAGATGGTTCTACCTCTAAGTTGTTTCAGTTGAAAATCCTTTATCCTCACTGGTCTCACATCAACGGAGAGATCATCTTTAATCTGCACATCGTTTGACTCCAGGACATGACTGAGATCATGCACATATTTCCTCAACTGAGATACATGAAATACATTATGCAGATTCGCCAAATGAGGTGGCAACGCTAACTGATATGCCACTAGGCCTACCTTCTTCAGAATATGATATGGGGCAATAAACTTGGGAGTCAACTTCTTAGACTTAATTGTCCTTCCTACTCCAGTAGTAGGTCTGATTATCAAAAATACATGGTCTCCCCCCTAAAATTCCAAAGGTCTCCTCTTCTAGTTCGCATATGATTTTTGTTTACTCATAGCGGCTATCAGCTTCTCTTGTATCTCTCGGACCTTCTCTGTAGTCTGCTGGAGTAACTCAAGTCCAATCAACACTTTCTCCTTATCCTGATACTAACATAAAGGTGTTTGACATCTCCTCCCATAAAGAGCCTCATATGGTGTCATCTCGATACTAGCATGATAGCTATTATACATGAACTTTATTAATGGAAGGATATCATCATAACTTCCTAGATTATCCAACACACAAGACCTCAACAAGTCTTTTATTGACTGGATGGTCTTCTTCGACTGTCTATTTTTCTGGGGGTGATAGATTGAACTCAACCTAAGTCGGGTACCTAATGTCTCTTATAAAGTCTGCTAGAAATGTGAAGTAAATCTGGGATCCCTATCTGAGATAATGCTAGATGACACCCCATGTAATCGGACAATCTCGCGAATATATAGTTATGTCAGCTTAGCCATAGATATCCTCATATTTACAAGGAGGAAATGTGCACTCTTCGTCAATCTATCCACTATCACCCAGATCGAATCGTGCCCCCAAACTGTCTGTGGTAAATGGGTAACAAAATCCATGGTAATTCTATCCCACTTCCACTCAGGTATCTCTATTTGCTGTAGCATTCCTCCCGACCTTTGGTGTTCCACCTTTGCCTTCTGACAAGTCAAACAATCAATCAAATACTCTACAACATCTCTCCTCATACTAGACCACCAATAAACCTTCTTCAGATCCTAATACATCTTAGTCATACCAGGGTGTAGACTCAGACGACTCTGATGACCTTCATCTAGTATTACTCTTCAATTCTTGGTCAACAGGAATACAAATTCTTCCTCTGAATCTCATAATACTATCCTCACTCATCTTGTAGTCAATGGTGTGCTCGGATCCTAACTGATCCATAACACCTTTCAACGTCATATCACCCTGTTGTCTATCTCTATCATCCCGAGAAAATCATTAGTAATGGTAATGCTACC